ATCCCCGGCATGGGCACTGGGATGTGGGAATTTTTTTGGCGAGATTTTGATCCTATGGTTGAGAAGAAGTCGTTTATCTTGTTAGCTGTGTCAGTGGGATGTAGTGGTGTTTCATTAGGTTTAGTTAGGACAATATTCTTGTTTTTTTTCAGTTTGTGGGTCCCTAGAATCTGAGAGAGTGTTTTCCAGGTCTTTTTTATATCTCCTCTATGTCTGTGAATCTACTGGAGTAGTATAGTTGTTTGGCTTTCTTTATTTCTTTGTGAGAACTGATGAGTAGTGTTTAAGAATATCTGTGTGTATTAAGCCCTGTCTATATTGCTTTTCATATTGGTGTTTCTTGTCAATGGATTTCAGAATGGTGCTGGTTAGCCATGGGCAACCCAAGCCGTTTGTTTGTGATCTGTTTCGTTTTTATAGGAAAATGTTTGTTGTATAGTCTAAGTAAATTTTTTAAGAAAAATGCTGTCCAGTCATCAGTACCATTGGCCTTGGAGAATTCTGTAGGCCAGTCAACAATCTCTAGGTCCCGCTGTGAACTTCCTTATTGAGGCCTCGTCATGGAGTCTAAATGAGACTTTTGTTGTATTCAAGTGGTGGTTTACTAATGTTTGTCAGGAAGAAGGTAGGGTAGTGGTCTGTAGTGCTATCTGTGATTATCCTTGATTTAAGGGGGGCTAGTATATTGGTCCATATGTGGGCTATTAAAGGTTGCACTTGTCTCAGTGAGCCTGGTTGGTTTAGTTATTGTTGGGATGAGAAGTGTGTTGTTCATATTGTTGATGAAATCATTTCAGCTGAAACATCTAGTAAGCCAAGGTTGATGTTGAAGTTCTCCAGCTTTAAAAGAAGGTGGGGCTTATTCATTTGTCTGTTTGTTATTAGTGACTTTAATTTCTCACTGAAATTTGGGATTTTTTGAGTGAGGTATCCCGGGAAATGGGACCGATTGTTATAGGTCTTAAGGTTTTTACAGTAAAATTAGCAAAAATGTATTCCCCATATTCATCACTAAAGCAAGTGGTGCTAATAACAAGATAATTGGTAAGAGTAATAGATTGCAATACCACCCCCAAACTTGGTTTGGTCTGCAGTTGTGAATTGCTGTGTATCCTGGTAGAGGGTTTGATATCTATTGTGTCCTGCTTAAGCCAGGTCTCAGTAAGAATAATGCAGGAGAAGGGGGTCTTTAAATGATTCAAGGAGTGCCAGGAGGTCATCATAGTGTTTGCTTAAGAACCTGATGTTGTAGTTTAAGTACTGATAGACTTTTAGCATTGTTTAGGTAGTGCTGGCTTGTGATGCTGTGTAATAAGGCAGTTACTTTCCAATAGGTTTTTATTGGGTGTCAGATTATGGAGGTTTAGATCAGGGTCAACGTGATCAATCATCTTCTATTTTAAATTATGGTATTTATATCCTGAGTTATGTGTTGAGTTTAGTACTGATATCTGTAGTGGTGGGAAGTTTGGATAAGTTTTATAGCTAGAGTATTTTGGTCATATAGAGTATAGTCACTACTACACATAATGAAGTTGAGTTGTCTATGTGTTGTGCTGGAATGAACTAAAGTACAACTAGGTATAAACTAGTAAATAAAAAATACAAAATTTAAATAGAACAAGACTCTCACTTGTAATTGCACTAAGGTCTAATATAATGACTTTTGTGGAGTCTATGTTTTGAGCTAGAATGGCCCATTGTACAACTGATTTAATTTAATAATATAAAAATACAAATTAAAAATGCACCGTAATTGCAATTTGGTCTAATATAATGAATTTGGTATTGACTATAGTACAACTGAAATTTTAAACTAATAATATAAAAAAGGCGCAAGACTCTCAATTGAATTGCACTAAGGGCTTATATAAGTTGTTTACAAGAATTAGAGTATAAATTTGATTTAATTTTACAAGATAAAAAATACAAATTAAGGTACCAAAGAAAATAATAAAGGGAAAAAAAAATGATAAAAATAAAATGGGAATGATTTTGGTTATAATATGCTAGTAAGATGGTAGACAGGATAATATAAAAGTTGTAGTTGAAAATACTAGTTTAAAAAAGTATAGAATATAAATGGTCAATAAAAGAAGTTTTCATAATTTTGATCAATATAGTTTAAAGCAAAATTGGCAATAATAAGGATTTTAGAATAAAATTGGGCAATTGAGTATTTCTTAAAGTGAGGTAGAATTATTTTAGGACAAGTTATGACTAGTTTATAATAAAATAAGATGGAACAGTGATGCGGTAAGTTGTAAAAAAAGGAGATAGGGTTCTGTAGATATTAAACAAATTAAGACTATGAGTAGAATGGTCGTTGAATACAACAATGACAATCAAAAGTAGTTGGGGTATTAGAATTTTAGGGGGGCACAAATTTATGACAATATAACACTAACTGTGGACTGTGGGTATTATCTGCACTTTACTCTGATTCTGTTAGTCCAGCCTCATTAGGAATGTTTTAAGGCATGTTCGTAGAGATGAAGTATCTCTTCCCAGTGGGGTGTTTCCTAACTGCGATTTTTCCATCCCTCCACAAAGCACTGGTGGATTTTTTGGGCATAGCGTAATTTTCTTAGCCGATAAAGAAGGTTTTGTCTTATTTTGGTAAGGCACTCATTGACGTAAACATCAGTTTTCATAGAAATAGATGTTTTTAGTAGGTTGTTTCTTTGTAGGCTAGTTTGGAATTTTAACAGCACTGTTTTTTTACCTGCTTGGTAGCCCATCAGTTTGCAATCCTTTAGGTCATCACTACGTATATTAAGGCGAAGGTGGTCGTTGATAAGCTGTAGGGTGGTCTCCATGCAGGTCTCTTGGGTGACTGTGGCTGGGAGATGTCCCAAACTACTTAGTTTCTTGTGTCAGAAGAAGAGGTCTCTGATGCAGTTGAGAAGGTCGCTTCAATGCTTAAGATGAGCGGGGCTGATGGTCCCCAGAAGGCAGGAAAGATGTTTGGCAAGAACTCCGGCTAGTTTGTGTGGTGCACTGCTTATACCTGATGTGATCGGTCTGAGAGGAATATTATGTTTATGGGTCTTAGGTAAACCATACATATGTGCTGGTGTAGGTGAAAGGAGGAAGCTTCTGTACTTAATACTGAATGTACAGCAATGCAAGCAACCATATGACCTGTCTTTGTAATACTCATTTGTACTTTATAGTTATCTGTTTACAATAATGTCTTGTCACTGATTTCATCATTGCTTAGTTAATCTTAAGTTAATTTTAAGCCAGCCCGTAATGTTATGCATATAAGTGGCTTTGGCATGCTGCTCTTACCTGTATTTTTTGTACCTCTGTATGTATGCTCAAATTACTAAATAAATAAATAAATAAATAAATACCCAGCAACCCTAAACCAGCACACATGTAAGGTTTACCTAAGACCCCTAAACATAATATATACCCTCTGTGTCCGTGTATTGTCTGTAACGGATTAATAAAGCTCCTAAAGAGCGAAACGTTGCACACAGTAAAATGTCATATTAGTTGCATTTGTGTCCTCTTACTTAACAAGACAACATCTGATCTCTCTGCCTCAATAAGCTCTGCCAGTGTCTGAGAGGGAAGTATGAACGTGCGTTAAATTTAATCACTTGAATGCTCTTTAATGGGATCATCTCTGCAGAGTTGATGTCAGTGAAGGATTTATGGCGAGGTCGCATGAGGGTGGTACCATCAGAGGAAAGGTATTTGAAGGTAAAGTCCCGGGTCCGCTTCCTGGAGGGAAAGGAAGGGGACAATGGACTGTGAGAGTCCATTGTGCTCTCTGGATTGTCTTTCAAAGATTGGCGCAGGTTTGGGGTTGAATGGTTTTCGTCTAGAGGCGGTAGTGATGGTTCTGGATGAAATGGGTGCAGTGGTGGAGGAGGTATAGGTGAAGGCTGGTGAAGTGGAGGCGGTGGAGATAGTGGATGTGGGGTGAGGGAGGAGAGCTGCAGTGGGTGTGGTTTTAGTTTGGGGAATAGTGGTAGAGGGGTGGGGTGGGGTAGAGGAGCTTGAGGGGGATAGGGAGGGGTGATGGTGGTGGGGGTTGAGGGGAGCCTTTGGAGGTGAAGCATGAGGGAGGGACTGTTGAAGAAGGAAGATTGTTGGCTGATGAGGTTGAGGGTGTGAGTAATATGTCTGGCGAGTTTGAGAGATCGCTATCGCTGAGTACACAGCTGTAACTAAACCATACCACGGGCGGGGATAGAACCCGCAATCAGAGTCAAAACTCCAGACCATGAGTCATGTTAACGGCTTTGAGGGGACTTGAGCTAGAGTTCGTCACGGCCACGCTAGCTGGAGATTCGTCTATAAAAACTTGCATTTGTGGTCACAGTGGTGCCTATGTTAACCTTCCTATGGTGTAGAAATATACCTAGTTGGACGAATCTTATTGTGGCTAGCTGGTCCGGTGGCTAACGCGACGGTCTGGAGTTTTGAGACTCTCTGATCGCGGGTTCTATCCCCACCCGTGGAATGATTTGTTTGCAATCGTGTCATTACGATTTCGTGAGTCATGTTAACAGCTGTAACTATTTTACAATTTGCTATGTAGTCTAGATTGGTTGTGGGTGGTGAGGTGTTTGGGGTCTGTGTGGTGCTGTGAGATGCTGTGACTATGGTGCTCTTCGCACCTACTCCTAGGTTGAGGGACTGATTACCTCATCTTCTGTACATAGTTCTACTGCCTTCAAGTTATGTCCTGGAATTTGTATTGATAAAGCCACTAGATGGCGAAACGTCTACAATAAAGATACCCAGATGTTGCACATGTGTCTTAATTTCATCGGGTAGGGAAGGGGTTGGAGGATGTTTGGTGAGACGTTATTAAGGATACCGGGGTACTGGGGATTCAGAGGTACTGAGGTTACTAGGGATACCGGGGTACTGAGGTTATTAGAGATACCGGGGTACTTAGGTTACTGGGGATACCGGGGTACTGAGGGTATTGGGGATACCGGGATACTTAGGGTAGTGGGGATACCGGGGTACTAAGACTGCTATCATTCCAAAAAGCATTTTTATTATAAATATTATTATTATTATATACAGAAGATTGCGAAAACCAGCACTAGTTTTTTCTTAGTTTACGTTTCTTTTGCCACTTTAAGACCTACTAAACTCCGACTCTCTCTCTTGGTCATGTTCTAGAACATTTATAAATATTCTTAGCAGGTTTAGATTCAGTAATAACACTGCAATAATATTTTTTTATGTTTAAGTTGATACGAATGCTATGGAATGCTAGGTTAATTGAAAATTCTTATTTTTCTCACTTAGAAAACTATAATTTGGAATTATTTTTTTAATATTAGTTGAAAGCATTGTAAATAACATTACAATAAACTTATAGAGTAACCAAATAAAGATTATTGAAACTAAAGCGAAGTGGGAAACTCAAGCTGATGTTGTCTTGGTGAAATTCTGTGAGTGGTCGTGACGGAGCGTTTTCTGGGGTGTTTTCTAGTGTTCCACAACTCTGAGTGTGGCTGGTCGCTGGGCGAGGAGTTCAGGCTTTGTCTGGGATGTCTAGTAGAGTACCATAGCCTAGAGTGTGGCTGGTTGCTGGGCGAATTGCTAGGGCTATATCTGGGGTGTGTTGCAGCATACCACAGCCTTGAATGAGGTTGGTTGTTGAGCGAGGTGCTAAGGCTATATCTGGGGTGTGTTGTAGTGTGCCACAGCCTTGGGTGAGGTTGGTTGCTGTTCGAGGTGCTGGGATTCTGCCTCTGGTTGTAGAAGGCAGAATAATATAACGGATTTCGAGTGACATGATAACTTCTGAAAAGTGGTTGCCAGTGCGGCTGTGAGGTGGGAGGAGTGGTAGGTACTGTTGGAAGACCAAGTTCCTTTACTGAGATGGGTAAATTTTGTTTGAGGTTTCTCGGATGGTCCAGCGACTGACTCAGTGGTAGTGTAGCATTGATTTCCGCATAGACGTTGACGCTTTGATGAATCTTATTGAGATCGTCAGGATGAATTGACACTGAATGAAGAGAGCTAATGGTGACGACTTCATGGTTGCTTCCTTGATATTCACCATAGGAGAGGACGATATTTTGTTGCGTGGTATTTTCCATCTGATGGAGTTCTTGCTCACTTTCTTGTGATCCTGAGCTCTGTGAGTTATTCTGAAGCTTAGGAAATGTATCATGCTGTGATGTTGATAACTGGTCTATTCCAGAAGAGTTCAGCTCATCACTAGGAATTTTCTGAATGGATCTGAGGTGATGTTGGCTTAGAGAAGAACCGACAGTAAATCCCGGAAGCAAGAAGAAGCAGAATATTATTGGTGAACTGTGACCTGGAGGCGGCGAGTATCCATCCTCCATAGTTGGTACGTGTTGACTGGAGACATCGGAAGAGGATGAAATACTGCTCTCAGTTTTTTCACACTCTGTAGTGTTGTTTCTCTCACTTGATATGATGTCTTTACTTCCAGAGACAATGCTTACACCTTCACTAATTTCACTTTCAGATATATTGTTTTGTTCAAGACTAATTTCACTTCCAGAACTTATGTTACTTCCAGAATTAACGCCACTTCCAATGATTGTGCTATTATCAGAATCAATGCTACTTCCGAGACTAGAGTCACTTCCAAAACTAATTCCATCTACAACAGCAGTGCTGCTTCCAGAACTGAAGTCACTTCCCTGGTTAATTATGTCCCCGAATGTTCCTCCAGCAAGAGTTCCATGATCCACCTGGGGCTGGATCAAGACATCAGTGATGGCAGAATTTTTGCAACAGCGGAACCTCCCGTAGGTGAGACAAGGAGGCAGGTTGCCGTAGTTCAAGATATCGAGGGGAGACGAACCATAGTAGGCAGGACACTGATGCTGCCTCACGCAGGGACACACGGCCTCTGCGTACTCGTAGATCGACGGCAGCGCGTCTCCTGTAGTTGGCTCCGTCAGAAACCCCGCCGTCGAAGTCTTCATCAGCACAGTCACCGTAATCCACAATCTGAAACATTGTAATTCGTTGCGAGTTATGAAGCAGAGGAGACAATATTTACAGAAACAAGATATATCCTTAATGCGAACTCGTACATCATTCTGGCTTAGTGTCCCCAGTCAACAGTAACATCTGGTTCTTTGGAAGTAATACACAGGATTAAAAATAAAAATGTTTTATTAAATGAAAATATTTATTACTGTGTTAACATATATATATATATTTATATATATATATATATATTATATATATATATATATATATATATATATATATATATTTTATATATATATATGTACTCACCTATTTGTAGTTGCAGGGTCGAGTCCTAGCTCCTGGCCCCGCCTCTTCACCGGTTGCTACTAGGCCCTCTCTCTCCCCGCTCCATGAGCTTTATCAAACCTCGTCTTAAAACTGTGTATGGTTCCTGCCTCCACTACGTCATTTTCTAGGCTATTCCACTGCCTTACAACTCTATGACTGAAGAAATACTTCCTACTATCTCTCTGACTCATTTGTGTCTTCAACTTCCAATTGTGGCCTCTTGTTTCTGTGTCCCCTCCCTGGAACATCCTGTCCTTGTCCACCTTGTCTATTCCACGCAGTATTTTATATGTCGTTATCATGTCTCCCCTGACCCTCCTGTCCTCCAGTGTCGTCAGGCCGATTTCCCTTAATCTTTCTTCATAGGACATTCCCCTTAGCTCTGGAACTAACCTTGTTGCAAACCTTTGTACTTTCTCTAGTTTCTTGACGTGCTTTATCAAGTGCGGGTTCCAAACAGGTGCTGCATACTCCAGTATGGGCCTGACATACACGGTGTACAGTGTCTTGAATGATTCCTTACTAAGGTATCGGAATGCTGTTCTCAGGTTTGCCAGGCGCCCATATGCTGCAGCAGTTATCTGATTGATGTGTGCTTCCGGAGACATGTCGGTGTTATACTCACCCCAAGATCTTTCTCCTTGAGTGAGGTTTGCAGTCTTTGGCCACCTAGCCTATACTCTGTCTGTGGTCTTCTGTGCCCTTCCCCTATCTTCATGACTTTGCATTTGGCAGGATTAAATTCGAGAAGCCATTTGCTGGACCATGTGTGTGTGTGTGTGTGTGTGTGTGTGTGTGTGTGTGTGTGTGTGTGTGTGTGTGTGTGTGTGTGTGTGTGTGTGTGTGTGTGTGTGTGTCGTGCCGAATAGGCAGAACTTGGGATTTTGGCTTAAATAGCAACGCTCATCTTGCTATATAGGACAAGCGAAAATTTGTGTATGCAATAATTTCGTCAAAATCATTCTGAACCTAACGAAAAAAAATATATTTCATTGTGTTTGTTTAGTATTAAATTACTGTAAACAAATTTAAAATATATTTAGGTGGGTTAGGCTAAAATAAATTGCTCTTGTTATAACAAGGTTAAGTAAGTTTTCTAAGTTTCTGTTGGTGCAAAATTAATTTTAAATGAGTTCTTGCTAATTGACCAGTTTTACATATTCGGCACGACATATATTGGTATTTTCCTATATTAAAAACACGTTGGTAATTGCCAGTAGAAGTCGAAGTACCTCAAGCATAGATATCTTCAAAAAGTGTTATGGTCCTCTAAGCAATTCAACTGCTTTGAATTTGTTTATGTCAAGAAGTATTGCTGGAAAGAAGCCACATGTGTTGGCTTTCATATTACAAAGGACTGCCAGCAGCCTGACAGGAAGCATACGTCTTCTACAGGTGTGACGTCCTGGTACTGAGAATGGAGAACGAACTCTGCCCCATCTTGCTGAGAGGAGTTCCCACTTATATTCTAGCAGTCTTGATGCCTCCAAAACTAACAGTTCCTTAGACCCCACCACTACACACAACTCTATTAATAAGTGAATTATTAATAATTTATTGCGTGTGTTTCATACTGCGCCATAATTAACTTACAAATTGACTACCATCGTGAGTGATTACTTATTTCCATTTTGTAATGAGAGTCAAAGAGGGAGCGGCTTATACTTTGACCTTCCTTATGAAGAAACGTATATGATTTTTAATTAAATTTCTCGTTCAGCCTACTTTGATGGAATCTTTAATTTAATGACTGAAATTAGCTCGATTGGTATCCCACACACCTTGATTCACGGTACGGGTGGTAACATTACGACGTGTTTCCTGAAGGTATCTGCTGTCCATGTTCACCTGTCAGTAAAATGAGTACCTGGGAGTTAGTGGACTGGTGGGGGTCGCATCCTGGGACAAAATTGGCCTAATTTGCGAGAAATGCTCAGCACAACAAGAGGCATTCTATATAGTAGTATGTCACTGATGTCAGCCAGGACTGTATACCTTGTACCTGTAGTTGTACAAATAAAGACAATAATAATAATAATAGTAATAATAATAATAATAATCATAATAAAGTTGATTATAACCAGAAAACTGTGCTCACTGATCGAACCAAAACTCTTGGTCTCAGCTCTGTTGACCCCACCACAGCACTCAGCACTCTTGACCCCACCACAACACTCAGCTCTGTTGACCCCACCACAACACTCAGCACTGTTGACCCCACCACAACACTCAGCACTGTTGACCCCACCACAGCACTCAGCACTCTTGACCCCACCACAACACTCAGCTCTGTTGACCCCACCACAACACTCAGCACTGTTGACCCCACCACAACACTCAGCACTGTTGACCCCACCACAACACTCAGCTCTGCTGACCCCACCACAACACTCAGCTCTGTTGACCCCACCACAACACTCAGCTCTGTTGACCCCACCACAACACTCAGCTCTGTTGACCCCACCACAACACTCAGCTCTGTTGACCCCACCACAACACTCAGCTCTGTTGACCCCACCACAACACTCAGCTCAGTTGATCCCACCACAACACTCAGCTCTGCTGACCCCACCACAACACTCAGCTCTGCTGACCCCACCACAACACTCAGCTCTGTTGACCCCACCACAACACTCAGCTCTGTTGACCCCACCACAACACTCAGCTCTGTTGACCCCACCACAACACTCAGCTCAGTTGACCCCACCACAACACTCAGCTCAGATGACCCCACCACAACACTCAGCTCTGTTGACCCCACCACAACACTCAGCTCTGTTGACCCCACCACAACACTCAGCTCTGTTGATCCCACCACAACACTCAGCTTTGTTGACCCAACCACAACTCTTAGCTCTGTTAACCCCACCACAACACTCAGCTCTGTTGATCCCACCACAACACTCAGCTCAGTTGACCCCACCACAACTCTTAGCTCTGTTAACCCCACCACAACACTCAGCTCAGATGACCCCACCACAACACTCAGCTCTGTTGACCCCACCACAACACTCAGCTCTGATGGCTCCACCACAACACTCAGCTCTGTTGATCCCACCACAACACTCAGCTCTGTTGACCCCACCACAACTCTTAGCTCTGTTAACCCCACCACAACACTCAGCTCTGTTGATCCCACCACAACACTCAGCTCAGTTGACCCCACCACAACACTCAGCTCAGTTGACTCCACCACAACACTCAGCTCAGTTGACCCCAGCACAACACTCAGCTCAGTTGACCCCAGCACAACACTCAGCTCAGTTGACCCCAGCACAACACTCAGCTCAGTTGACCCCAGCACAACACTCAGCTCAGTTGACCCCACCATAACACTCAGCTCTGTTGACCCCACCACAACACTCAGCTCTGTTGATCCCATCACAACACTCAGCTCTGATGACCCCACCACAACACTCAGCTCAGCTGACCCCCACCACAACACTCAGCTCAGCTGACCCCCACCACAGCACTCAGCTCTGTTAATCCCACCACAACGCTCAGCTGTGTTGACCCCACCATAACACTCAGCTCTGTTGACCCCACCACAACACTCAGCTCTGTTGACCCCACCATAACACTCAGCTCTGTTGACCCCACCACAACACTCAGCTCTGTTGACCCCACCACAACACTCAGCTCTGTTGACCCCACCACAACACTCAGCTCTGTTGACCCCACCATAACACTCAGCTCTGTTGACCCCACCACAACACTCAGCTCTGTTGATCCCACCACAACACTCAGCTCTGTTGATCCCACCACAACACTCAGCTCAGTTGACCCCACCACAACACTCAGCTCAGTTGACCCCACCACAACACTCAGCTCAGTTGACCCCACCACAACACTCAGCTCAGTTGACCCCACCACAACACTCAGCTCAGTTGACCCACCACAACACTCAACTCAGTTGACCCCACCACAACACTCAGCTCAGTTGACCCCACCACAACACTCAGCTCAGTTGACCCCACCACAACACTCGGTTCTGTTGACCCCACCACAACACTCAGTTCTGTTGACCCCACCACAACACTCAGTTCTGTTGACCCCACCTCAACACTCAGTTCTGTTGACCCCACCTCAACACTCAGTTCTGTTGACCCCACCACAACACTCAGCTCTGTTGACCCCACCACAACACTCAGCTCTGTTGACCCCACCACAACACTCAGCTCTGTTGACCCCACCACAACACTCAGCTCTGTTGACCCCACCACAACACTCAGCTCTGTTGACCCCACCACAACACTCAGCTCTGTTGACCCCACCACAACACTCAGCTCTGTTGACCCCACCACAACACTCAGCTCTGTTGATCCCACCACAACACTCAGCTCTGTTGACCCCACCACAACACTCAGCTCTGTTGACCCCACCACAACACTCAGCTCTGTTGACCCCACCACAACACTCAGCTCTGCTGACCCCACCACAACACTCAGCTCTGTTGACCCACCACAACACTCAGCTCTGTTGACCCCACCACAACACTCAGCTCTGTTGACCCCACCACAACACTCAGCTCAGTTGACCCCACCACAACACTCAGCTCAGATGACCCCACCACAACACTCAGCTCTGTTGACCCCACCACAACACTCAGCTCTGTTGACCCCACCACAACACTCAGCTCTGTTGATCCCACCACAACACTCAGCTTTGTTGACCCCACCACAACTCTTAGCTCTGTTAACCCCACCACAACACTCAGCTCTGTTGATCCCACCACAACACTCAGCTCAGTTGACCCCACCACAACTCTTAGCTCTGTTAACCCCACCACAACACTCAGCTCAGATGACCCCACCACAACACTCAGCTCTGTTGACCCCACCACAACACTCAGCTCTGATGGCTCCACCACAACACTCAGCTCTGTTGATCCCACCACAACACTCAGCTCTGTTGACCCCACCACAACTCTTAGCTCTGTTAACCCCACCACAACACTCAGCTCTGTTGATCCCACCACAACACTCAGCTCAGTTGACCCCACCACAACACTCAGCTCAGTTGACTCCACCACAACACTCAGCTCAGTTGACCCCAGCACAACACTCAGCTCAGTTGACCCCAGCACAACACTCAGCTCAGTTGACCCCAGCACAACACTCAGCTCAGTTGACCCCAGCACAACACTCAGCTCTGTTGACCCCACCACAACACTCAGCTCTGTTGATCCCATCACAACACTCAGCTCTGATGACCCCACCACAACACTCAGCTCAGCTGACCCCCACCACAACACTCAGCTCAGCTGACCCCCACCACAGCACTCAGCTCTGTTAATCCCACCACAACGCTCAGCTGTGTTGACCCCACCATAACACTCAGCTCTGTTGACCCCACCACAACACTCAGCTCTGTTGACCCCACCATAACACTCAGCTCTGTTGACCCCACCACAACACTCAGCTCTGTTGACCCCACCACAACACTCAGCTCTGTTGACCCCACCACAACACTCAGCTCTGTTGACCCCACCATAACACTCAGCTCTGTTGACCCCACCACAACACTCAGCTCTGTTGATCCCACCACAACACTCAGCTCTGTTGATCCCACCACAACACTCAGCTCAGTTGACCCCACCACAACACTCAGCTCAGTTGACCCCACCACAACACTCAGCTCAGTTGACCCCACCACAACACTCAGCTCAGTTGACCCCACCACAACACTCAGCTCAGTTGACCCCACCACAACACTCAGCTCAGTTGACCCCACCACAACACTCAGCTCAGTTGACCCCACCACAACACTCAGCTCAGTTGACCCCACCACAACACTCGGTTCTGTTGACCCCACCACAACACTCGGTTCTGTTGACCCCACCACAACACTCAGTTCTGTTGACCCCACCACAACACTCAGTTCTGTTGACCCCACCTCAACACTCAGTTCTGTTGACCCCACCTCAACACTCAGTTCTGTTGACCCCACCACAACACTCAGCTCTGTTGACCCCACCACAACACTCAGCTCTGTTGACCCCACCACAACACTCAGCTCTGTTGACCCCACCACAACACTCAGCTCTGTTGACCCCACCACAACACTCAGCTCTGTTGACCCCACCACAACACTCAGCTCTGTTGACCCCACCACAACACTCAGCTCTGTTGACCCCACCACAACACTCAGCTCTGTTGACCCCACCACAACACTCAGCTCTGTTGATCCCACCACAACACTCAGCTCTGTTGACCCCACCACAACACTCAGCTCTGTTGACCCCACCACAACACTCAGCTCTGTTGACCCCACCACAACACTCAGCTCTGTTGACCCCACCACAACACTCAGCTCTGTTGACCCCACCACAACACTCAGCTCTGTTGACCTCACCATAACACTCAGTCCTGTTGACCCCCACTGTTTATCTTGATCAACGGAGATATACCCTTTAGCATATATACAGAGAGTTGCAGACTGCTTTAATAAGTACTTCTCCACTAAGGAATTTACTTAAAAATCCTTAAATGGCAATAATATCAAGAAATTTTAAATATAATTATGGAAAGGAAGCACTTGGCAATTTATTCGTGACGTCATTTAAATGCATGATGGCTTACACGTCTGATAAGAGACTTCAATATGGTTATATTTCTAATCACAAATTTTAAAGGGGTGGACCGGTAAACCAGCGGAATGCCTCGGTCAGATGACCTAAAGCTCCAACGGCGGAGCGTCATCTAAGACCCGTGTCAGGAAACACTTGTCCTGTTTCCTTATGAACCTTACCAAACCAAACCCAACGTCTTCTAAATTCCGGCTTCAAATTAACTGACTATGTTTAGAAGGACGATGTTTATCTGGAATTATTTACTAATTTAGGGGTTATCTATGAATAGGTCTGGATTGTTCTGAATGCTGGAGAACACTACAGAATATTGTGAAAACTGATGAACAGTACGGAATGTTCTGTACACTGGAGAGTAGAAAATAATGTTCTCTAAGCGAGAGAAGAAAACAGAGTGTAAACACAAAAGAAGTCTGAAATTCGATGAGAGTAGAAGAGTGTGCAGTGGTCAGAATTTCGGCTGGAAGGTCGGAAATTTCTCAGCACATGAGAAAAAGTTGGAAATGTTCTAAACACAGATAAAAAGTTCCGAATATTCTGAACATAGAACACTTCATGATATCAACAAAAACGTCGGAATATTTCAGATATAAGAATCACTGTGAATGTTTTCGCCACAGAATATTACGAACGAAAAAAATATATACAAGCTCTGAAAAAAACATTTTTGTATGTGTTCAGAAAATTTTTGCTGTGCAGAACACAACAGTTCGGAAAGCTTTAAATACAAATTCCGTTCGAAATTTTGTTAAGCCTTTCAGAAGAGTTTGAAATGTTTTGAGCAGAAAATAAGAGATGCAAGTGTTGTTATGGAAGACATTCAGGATTATATTGAACAATGGCGATGATTTTGACTATATTAAAAAAATTACGTAATGTGAACTCAAGACAAAATTTCGGAATAGTCTGAGGACAAGACAGAAATTGTGAATATTAATATAAAATAAGGTTTCGGTATGTTCGGAATAACAGAGAGTTCAGTTTTAATGAACTCAAGAATAACTTGAATGTGAATAGAACATTTGTGTACTGTTCAGGACATTTGTGTACTGTTCAGGACATTTGTGTACTGTTCAGAACATTTGTGTACTGTTCAGGACATTTGTGTACTGTTCAGGACATTTGTGTACTGTTCAGGACATTTGTGTACTGTTCAAGATATCTGGGTTCTGTTCAAGATATTTGTGTACTGTTCAGAACATTTGTGTACTGTTCAGGACATTTGTGTACTGTTCAGGACATTTGTGTACTGTTCAAGATATCTGGGTTCTGTTCAAGATATTTGTGTACTGTTCAGGACATTTGCGTACTGTTCAGGACATTTGTGTACTGTTCAGGGCATTTGTGTACTGTTCAGGACATTTGCGTACTGTTCAGGACATTTGCGTACTGTTCAGGACATTTGCGTACTGTTCAGGACATTTGCGTACTGTTCAGGACATTTGTGTACTGTTCAAGCCATTTAATAAAAGTCCCGAGCTATATACAGGTGGCCTTTTACGCAGATTATCGGCATCACTAAACCATTTATAACAAATAACATGAGAGTTAAACGTTCAGAAGAGTAGGTCAGAACTGTATGATTTTAATGTTCAGATTCCATATTATGACTCATAATATTATCAAACAGCAGTAATGATGACGGCACTGAGGATCGAGCCTCCACCATAGCTTGTGTTAATCAACACGGGTTTAACGCTTCATTAAATATAATGCAAGTAAATCAACTCCCTTTTTATTTTTCCCTTCTCTAATTCAGAAATGGCTCGTGAAAAAAAAGACTTGCTCATAGTTCTCATAATTATGTAAACACTGGGTAATAATAATAATAATAATAATAATAATAATAATAATAATAATAATAATAATAATAATAATATCTTTATTTACTACAAGTACATGTACAAGGTATACAGTCCTAGCTGACATCAGTGACATACTACTATATAGAAAGCCACTTGTTATGCTGAGCATTTCTGGCAAATTAGGTCAGGTTTGTCCCAGGATGCGACCCACACCAGTCGACTAACACCCAGGTACCCATTTTACTGATTTGTGAACATAGACAACCGGTGTAAGGAAACACGTCCAATGTTTCCACCCTTTCGCCGGGAATCGAACCCGGACACTCACCGTGTGAAGCGAGAGCTTTTGCCACCAGTCCTGATACAGAGATGCGAGAAGAAATATATGCTCACCTGACTTCTAGGACTGTATATTTTATACTACGTGATCTAGCGGTTCGGTCCTCAAATTGAATAAGCCAGTTACGGCAGAAAGTTTCCCATTGAATGTTCTGAATTGTGCATGTGAATATTAACATACAAAGGTCAACTCTACTAAGCATTACCTGGTCCACATGATGAGAAGGCCGGACACGGCGTAAACTGCAAGAGGAGCGTGTTCCTGGTGCCTCTTTGAGCCCTGGGTCGTGGAGACTGGCAGTCAGGTCGGAAGACAGTCACAGTCTGAGGTCTCGAGGGCAGGTCAGTGACCTCTGGTACACAGCCTCATCTTCCGCATTACCTGGGGCCATTAATTAAAATTTTTCTTCCATTAGTTTAGGGAGACTTATATCGCTGAAAGCTGTCCAGTAATCCCGCAGGATGTTTTTCTGCTGGTGTTAGCATAAACTACACAGAAAACCCGATTTGCCTCTATATTGTCAAGTAAGCAAGTATTTTGATCACGTTTATCGACATCTGTAACATTTGCTGTGCTCAGATTTTTAATGCACTTGCTGGACTCAGTATATTATTACTGATTTATGAGAGGCGTCGCATAGAATGAATAAACCAAAAGATCAAAGAGCGATTATTATTCCAAACAATTTGCCTGATATCATCACCCTCCCCCTACACACAAAGCTCATGGAGCAGGAAGAGTGACCTAGTAGCGACCAATGAAGAGACGGGGCCAGGAACTGTGACTCGACCCCTGCAACAACGAAGTGAGTACAACTGGGTGAGTACACATGGGCGTCTAGCAAACCTAAGCATAACATTCCGACATCTCAGTAAGGAATCGTTCAAGACTGTACACCGTGTACGTCAGGCCCATATTGGAGTAAGCAGCACCAGTTTGGAACCCATACCTGGCCAAGCACGTCGGGAAATTGGAGAGAGTGCAAAGGCTTGCAGCGAGACTAGTCCCAGAGGAGGGGTTAAGGAAAATCGACCTGACGACACTGGAAGACAGGAGGGACGGGGAAAGGGGGACATAACAACAACATAAAATACTGAGAGAAATTGACAAGGTGGATAGGGACAGAATATTCCAGAGATGGGACACAGTAACAAGGGGTCACAATTGGAAGTTGAAGCCACAGATGAATCACAGGGATCTTAGGAAGTATTTCTTCAGTCAGAGTTGTCAGGAAGTGGAATAGTCTAAAACAGTGGTTCTTAACCTTGATAAATTAGACACATGTTGGAGGTACTAAACCCGGCAAGTTTCATTCGTACATTCACCGAACCTTCCTAATCGGAAAAATGAAATATGATTTCATCAAAATATAATTTGTAATCAAAACTGGAAATCAATGTGACTTTTGCTGTTGCCTTTCAAAGACAGGTTCAGAAATGCCCGGCTTCACCTTGCCAAGTGTCACTCTCATATTTTCGCAACAAAGTCTGTTTATTTTCTTCGCTTTGATGTCTGCCATCCTCGGAAAGGATTTCTCGCAAAGATACGTTGTAACAAACGTCGTGAGTATCTCGAGGGTTTTCTTAGCAATAAGAGGCTACGCTACGATTTGGTGACACCAAAACGTTGAGATCATTGTTGTTCTGAAGAGTCAGAGGCATGGGTCGAGTTAGTGTCACCCAGGGCAGAATCTCTGGTGTCACCCACATGAAATCCGAGGGTGGGGGGGGATGGGGGGAGAAACTCCAGTTACATCACTACTGCATGACCAGCTACTAATGTTCAGCAATAAGAGCGTTTAAGGGCCATAAACCGACCAGGAGAATACTTCTCAACTGTATTATTGATAAAATAAATAATCGTAGTAATATTGAGGAAACAAACTCAAATACCACTGAGTACAGCCAACAGATCCTACATTTATTCATCTTCAACAATGCCAAGAAAAGAAAAAAACTTAAAAAATAAAGAAAAACATTGCAATATCAGAGAAATACTAGTTCCGATTTGACCTTGAGTACAGGTAACATCTCAGTGAATCTGATCTTACATTTCCTTGCCTTCAATTATGCAAAATCATGTATCACATCATCAAAAATCAATAATTTTCCCTATATAGGCTTATTTGTACTTTGTTAATATATATAATAGGCTATATAGAAACGAAGGATTCTTCTCTTATGTTGGTGCAGCACTGTTTTGTACATTAGTATCACCTTTAGAGGCTCTCTGGTGTCACCCCCTAAATGGTGTCACCAGGAGCGGCCCGCCCCTGTGACAGAGAAGAGGCGGGGCCAGGAGCTATGAATTGACCCCTACAACCACAATTAGGTGAGTGCACACACAAAATTCGAGGTCTCCTACGACCTATCTTTCGGCTGCCTCACCCCACTCCCCGTGCCATCCCCCCACTCTCCGTGCCACCTCCCCACTCCCCAATTTAAATGTGTCCTCACCCCACTCCCCGTGCCTTCATCCCCAATCCCTGTGTTCTCACCCCACTCACTGTGCATTCACCCCACTCCGTGTCCTCATCCCACTCCCCGTGTCCTCATCCCACTCCCCGTGTTTTCATCCCACTCCCAGTGCATTCACCTCACTCATAAGAACAAAAGAAAGAAGGAACACTGCAGCAGGGCTACTGGCCCATGCGAGGCAGGTCTAAATCTCCTACCGGCTTAAGCCAATGCACCCAACCTAGTCAGGTCAGGTTATATTCGGAAGGAACACGGCAACTGACTTAGTAGCACAAGCTAATCAGATCCAACTCACACCCACCCACACCCACTCATGTATTTATTTAACCTATTTTTAAAAGTACACAACGTTTAAGCCTTTATAACTGTACTTAGGAGTTTGTTCCACTCATCCACAACTCTTTTACCTAACCAGTCCTATATCCTTCCTGAATCTGAATTTTTACAACTTTTAAAACCATTGCTGCGAATCCTATCTAGGTTAGATATTTTCAGCACGCTATTTACATCCCCTTACTTATGCTCTTCCATTATCACACCTCAATTTATCCCCCCTAATTCTCTTTCTGAGTAGATTCAGGCCTGACAGGTCTTCCTCTTAGGGAGACTTCTTGTACATTGGATCAACTTCTGTATCTCTTTTGTCCCCTTGTTCCGGAGCACCCCCTTCATTGTAAACGGTGGAGCTAAAGACTGACAACCAAATCTAGGTGAGGCCAATAACGATTAGAGAGTTCAAGACAACTGTGGCTCCTATTATTTATCTCGTGCATAGATATTAAGGCCTACCCATGTCTGTAGATTTATGTCCAATCCCTGTGTCTTGAGCATTACTGTATCAGACCACTCCTATCCTTTTCGCCATCCGTTGAATATTAAGTTTACATTCCACTTGTTTATCATCATCGGCATGATTATTTTCCGTCATCATTAGAACTGTAGATTTGGTCTATCTAAGATGTATCTGGCCCATCTCGGCCAGCATCAAATCAATCTCCTGGTTAAGCCTAATGTCCTGTCAGGTCGAGGCTATTTTGTGAAGGACAGGAACTTGCTTATGTTTATGCTATCAAGCTTATCAGATCTAAGGGGCCCACACTACCCCATAACCCACTTGTGGTTTTTATTTCTCTTTTTATAGTCAAACTTTGCTCCTATTTTAACTTGTACTCTAATTTTCTCAACGTCTCATGTGCCCTGTCAAAGCTTACTAAGTCCATATTCACTAATTATATTCCTCCCTTAAATACCTTAGTGAATATAGTTAAATTTAGGGCAGAATCACCTTTTAAAGCCCTCACCCCATCCTGAATTCTAGCCTGACTCCCTTGTGCCCTCACCAATCCCCTGCATTCTACCTCTCCCTGTGCATTCAGGCCCATCCAGTGCATTCACTCAACTGCATTGGATTCCATACCGTTCTATCATCTGTGCAACCTCTCTTCTTGTCTTACCCCACTCTGTTTCTTCTCGTTCGCTGACCATACACCTTTCTTTACGCCTAACCAGGCAGTGTTACATTAATCAGTTATGGTTTAGTTAAGCATATCAGCTGTGTGTTATGTTATACTGGTTGTGGTTTAGGTACTGCAGAGCTCCTGATTAGTTTTTCGACATGAGGTATTAGGTTATCAGCAGTGGTTTAGGCTATAGTTGTGTTAGGCTATCAGGTTGGTTTAGGCTTCAAGGCTGTGGTTTAGGCTATCAGGCATGTGTCTTTAGTATCACTGTTGCATTTAGGCTATCAGGCTCGTGGTTTAAACTTGGTTTAGGCCTGTGATTTAGGCTATCAGGCTGTGGTTTAGGCATTAGGTTGTGGTTTAGCTATCAGGCTGTGGTTTAGGCGTGATTGTGAAGCTATCAGGCTGTGGTTGGCTGTGGATACACAGCTTGTGTTTAGGCTCATCAGGCTGGGTTTAGGCTATCAGGCTATTTTTAGGATGTGGTTTAGGCTATCAGGCATTTTTGGCCTCTTTCGTGGCTATCAGGCTATTTTTAGCTGTGGTTTAGTGCTTCAGCTATGAATCTTAAGCTATTCAGGCTGTGGTTTAGGCTGTAGCTATAGGCTGTGGTTTAGGAGCAGGCTGATGGTTTACTTCATCCAGGATGGTTTAGGCTATCAGCTGTGGTTTAGGCATGTGATTTAGGCTATCAGGCTGTGTTTAGGCTCGTGGTTTAGCTTCAGGCTGTGGTTTAGGCTGTGGTTTGGCTATCAGCTGTGGTTTAGGCTGATGGTTAGGCTTCCAGGCTGTGGTTTAGCTTGTTTTAGGCTATCAGGCTGTGGTTTAGGCTATCAGGCTGTGGTTTAGGCTATCATTCTGTGGTTTAGGCTATCAGGCTGTGGTTTAGTTATCAGGCTGTGGTTTAGGCTGTGATTTAGGCTATCAGGCTGTGGTTTAGGCTTATTTGGTTTAGGCTATCAGGCTGTGGTTTAGGCTATCAGGCTGCGGTTTAGGCTGTGGTTTAGGCTATCAGGCTGTGGTTTAGGCTATCAGGCTGTGGTTTATGCTGTGGTTTAGGTTATCAGGCTGTGGTTTAGGCTATCAGGCTGTTGTTTAGGCTGTGGCTTAGGCTATCAGGCTGTGGTTTAGGCTATACAGCTGTGGTTTTAGGCTGTGATTTAGGTTGGTTTAGGCTATCAGGCTGTGGTTTACTATCGTGTGGTTTAGGCTTTAGGCTGTGGTTTAGGCTTGGACTGGGTTTAGGCTATCAGGCTGTGGTTTAGCTGTGGTTTAGGTATCAGGCTGTGGTTTAGGCTATCCGGCTGTGGTTTAGGCTATCAGGCTGTGGTTTAGGCTATCAGGCTGTGGTTTAGGCTGTGGTTTAGGCTATCAGGCTGTGGTTTAGGCTATCAGGCTGTGGTTTAGGCTATCAGGCTGTGGTTTAGGCTATCAGGCTGTGGTT